ACTGCAAATTTCTCTGCTTTTGCCCCACTGTACGGTGGAACTTGGCCTGCCTGGCTGTACAATTTGATTTCGGTGTTTGCCTGGCGATTTGTTGTGTTTGATTTGCTGCCTCGCTGTCTTGCTCCATCCCATCCTGGTGATCCCTGCCGCTCCACCCGCGCACCACTGAACCGCCGCACCACTGAGCCACCGCACCACTGAGCCACCGCACCGCTCTGTCGCATTCCAGCGGTGCCGCAGCGCTTACATTGTTCGCTTTTTCGGTTCATTCAAATCCTTTCGGTAAAATTCTTTTGTTTGGTGTCAAGTTTAACAAATATTTGCGGCCTCTTGTCTTGTTTGTCCCATGTTTCTCGCGTGTTGCTGTTGTTATTGTTGTTGTTGCTTCAGTTGTTGTTGTTGTTGTTATTGCTGGTTGTCATTGTTCAGTCGGTCGCTTGAATTGGAAGATTGGAAGTGGCTGCGGTACATGCTGCACATTCGAGGCGACATGGGGGCGTATGAGTAATCAGTGCCGCCCGCAATTAGTTGGTTTATTTTATTTATTTTTTTTTTTTTTTTTGTGGACGAGGAGGACAACCTGGGAATCTGGGAAGAGTGAGAGTGGAATCCTTAGCTAGGCAACAGTGATTTGCTTCCCATGATTGCCCCAAAAGTTATTGCTCTTTGCTGTTGTTGCACTTGGGCTCCATTGTTGCAACTCTCTTATCAGCTGGCTCTTTTTTTTTTTTTTTTTTTTTTCGAGCTTTTGTGCGAAATTTCTGACTCCCCGCTGCGTGAGTCGCACAAAATGCCACAAGAATTGCTGCCGTGCCCCCGGTGGGGCAAAAAGAGGCGGGGGGTTGGCACTGCTAGCCAAAATGGAGACTTGGAGACAAAAGTGCCACTGCAAAGGCAACACCAGCGACTTCCACTTCGACTTCGACTGCGAGTGCAACTGCAACTTCGACTGCAGCAACTGCAACAAAATGAAACCGTAATTGTTTGTTTATTATGGCTTTGAGCAGTTGTTGCTGCTGTTGTTGTTGTTGTTATCGCATGTTATTGTTGCCGCTGCCGCTGTATTGTTAAATGTTAAAGTGCTACACAATATTTATATTGGCATTGTCTGCAAGAGCTGCTCAAAAGGGGGCTTTTAGCCAGTATCGAATTGGGAATGCCCTTATACTTAGGATTTTGATTAGGTTTTGTTTGTGGAAATATCTGAGATACTTGATACTGAAGTAAAAGGTATGTAAAATGATTTAATCTTTTTGAAAAATAGAAAATGAAGTACTTTTTTGGCCAAGGAATACTGTCCACTACATAATTATTTATTTATTATGTGGATAACTGCATGATGTTCGTAATTTTATTGAGGAGTTGTATTATTTTCCCTCCGCATTTGAGCCTTCTTAAAGTAAACACAATTTAATACCACAACTTTTTTTCTTCCTTTGAAATTTAACCAGAAATAGAGTGGTGTCTTCAATGAGTTTTAGAGTATGTTTTTTGTGACATAGGAAACACTTAAATAAATTGTTATTTATAGGTGGAACTTATGCCAATTGATTTAATACTAGGGATTTTGTGACATCGATCTTAGCTTGTTCATTTTTGATTCTTCTGTTTTTCGAGACCTCTTAGCTCTCGTAATTTTCAAGCTCACCTGGCTGTTGTATCCAGTTTTTCCTATGTTCCAATGGACCCCGCAGAGCTTAAGGGTATTGCCGAGTAGAGCATTCCGAGATTACGATCGGAGACACCCTCGCCGAGGCACAGAGGGGAACCGAGCAATGTGTGGCACTGCTGACACTTCAATGGAGCCCCAAATGCTCAAAAGGGGGGAGGGGGGTGAACACGGGGCACTTCGGACTCCAATGTTGCCTCATGCTGTGGCGCTATGCTGCGATTATGGCCACGGATTAACTTCCTCTTTTGGCCATCATCATTGTGGTTATTGTTGCGGTCGCTGCTGCTTTTGCTTTTGCTGTTGCTGTTGCTGTTGCTGCTTTTGCTGGCTTTTGCTGGATTTTGCTGCTTTTACTGCCACTGCTGATTTCCGATTGCCACGGATCGCAGTCCGCACTCGCACTTAATTATATCTAATTCGAGCGAACCCTTGCCGCCTCTTAGGCGCTGATTGCGACCTCGCCGGTCCGCTTATCGCCCGATTACACCGACGTGACTTGGCCGCGATAAGAAGCGTCCGTCGCTGGGAAACGCTCCCCTTTCGAAAATTAGCCCCGCCAAGCCTAGAACTATGCAATGCCCGGGGAATCGCTTTAACCACACATTTCACACCCAAAACCCCTTCATGAGAATTGGTTTAAGGAGTTGTATAGTGGTTTGTGCAATTTTCGTCTTATTTAAATAATTTTTACCTTATTCTTAGGGACATAAAATACACAAATAAGAAACGTATAACTGAAAAAACAAATAGCCCATAAACATACATATATATAATATAATATATCATATAATATATAATATATATAAAAATATAACTGCGAAACAAATATATAAACATTTTTTTCTTGCTGTTACTTTAAAATTTTATTTCCCTGTTTATTTGAGATAACGTTTAGTAATGTGGCAATTTTAGTATGAAGCATTTTAATAACTGCACAATAACTTTTATTATAAATCAGTTTTAAAATGCATTGTATTATTAAATATAATATTATATATAAAATATTTTTATTTTGCTTCTTCTAATATTTAAAATTTCATGTTTAGTTTCATTTTGAAAAATTCTCAATTTCATAACTAGGCGAATGCTAGGACCCTTGGACTAAACAATTAAATAAATTAAAAGCTAGAATGTTTTCTTATTTATGGTACAAAACAAAAGATGGTAAAACGTGATATTCTTTGGTATGATCACCACAAAACGGACTATATGTAAACTGTATTTATTCAAAACGGCGAAGCTTATAAGTGTTTAAAACATTTTAAGGTATTTAAGTGTGCTCCCTTGAATATGTTTTTAAAACTTAAATGAAAAGACCGCCGTAGAATGTGGATCCGGCGGACTTTGAACGCCGTGTGCAGTCTCATCTGGCATTTGATGATGGGGCAGCATCTGTGCGGCGGCTTTTCCATTGTTTTTGTACCTGGGCAGGTCTAACACCTTATAACACCCCATAAATCAAGTGCTTAACCGTTTTTTACGATCGCCGCGTTTCGCAAGGCAAAAGACGCCGAAACCTTTTGGCTAAGCTGCTCTCTTATTTTTTTGGCGGCTGTTTATCCGGCGGCAAGGTCAACTCTTCGCTTGTGCAACCTCTGACATTGAGCGATGTGTGGCAACAGGAGGGGGGGAACAAGAGGGGAAACAAAGAGGGGGGGAGGGGAAAGTAGGAGAAGGTCGAGTGAGTGGACAGGAAGTACCAACACTCTCTCCTCAAAAAAAAAAAAAAAACAAAAACGGGAGACATTATTACCAAAGGTTTTCCCCGTTTCTATTGCTGTTTTTTGTGTTTTCATTTTGTAATTTGTGTGTGTGTATGTGTGTGTGTGTGTGTGTTTTTCACCTTGGCGTCGGCGGCGTTGACAGTTTCGGTTTTTCTCTGGCGATGATGAGTTTTCCCAGCGGCGGCAAACTAGAAACGGATCCAGTAAAGCAGTGCAACAATGCAACCCGGTGCCGTGTGTTAATAGAAATGTTTCTACAGATTCGAGAGAAGAAGGCCACAACGACGACGACGACGATGGAAGTCCAACGATGAACGGTCGAACGGACGAACGGAGCCAGCGACAATTCCCGGGAACTCCATAAAAATAGCTAAACGTGCAGGGGCCGCCCAGAACTCTTCCTTTTTCGATTCCCAGTGCACTGCTCTTGCCCTCCCCCCTTCCCCTGGCACCCCTCCCCCTTTCCCAAATCTCACCCCCCACTCCAGCACTCATTTCATTTCAATTGACCGAATGGCTGGCATTCTTCAGCCAGAGAGGGAAATTCACTTTCATCTTTTTCAATAGCCAGCCGAAAGAGCAGGAACTCCGAACTCCAAGCTGAAAACTCAAAACTGAAAGTCGCAATCGCAGTTGCAGGACGAAAGAAATCAGGATCAGCTGTGGGTCCTTTAATGTCTAAATTGCCGAGCCAGAGATTCCTGATGTGTCATACCGCCCAGGACTTGACCTGCTGCTGAGTTGCGATCTCTGATCCTTTTCCCTTTGCTTTTCCTTCCCCCGACTTTTTTTTCCCTTTGGTTGGTCCTTTTGTTCTCTGCTAACTGTTTCGGCCAGTCCTTTTCACCTTTCCTTCCCGCCTATCGCTTTCTCTTTCCCTCCTTCGGCTCTCGTGGCTCTTTGTGTGCCGTGTAAATATTTTCCCAGCATCCTGCAAACGTTTTGACAGTTTTTATTAGATCAAAAACCGGCTACAAGTGGCGTGTGATAAATTGCGGCCAAAACGCAGCTAAGCAGAGATGGGCCAGTAAAGATATAGAACCAACACACACACCAACACACACATACCCACACATACATACACATGGTAGAAATAGGGTTTTAGAAATGGGAATAGAAATATAGAAGAAAGATCAAGTGTCGCTCACTTGGCTTCCCTTTTATTGTCTGATGATAAGTCGTGACTTTAACACACACACACACACACTTAAACACCAATACACACACACACACACACAAGGAGGAGGTCTTTGAGTGGCGGCAATTAGGACATGCCATCGAGAGTCCTGTTCCCTCGAGCATCTCAAATCCGTTTACCACTCTTCAAATTTAAGCACTTAAATTATTAAGACAATGGGATTTTATTATGCCAAGCAAAACACTTATGCTTCAAACTAATCCCTCCGATTTGAACCCTTTTTTTTGGCAGTTGCTATACAATCCTTTATGTAGTTTGTCGTACCTTTATTGCAGATCATAACTCATCATCATCGACATCATCGACGGCCCCAAAACGGAATGATTGATGAACTGCCTGTAGTTCAGTTGCCCCATCGATCCCCAAAAAAAAAAAACCGAAGGAAGCCGTGCTGCGCACATCAAACTATTCGATTCGACGAGACGCACAACTGGAAATTTCGAGTATATCACATAGTACCTATATTTAATATATATACACTCACCAATTCCGATCCGAAGGAAACACGGCTTACGATGCAAAATTCAACAGTGATCAGCAGGGTGAATGCGGGCTTGAGTCGCTGTTTGAGCCACCATCGAAAATTGTGCCGTGGCATCGCCGAGTTGGACTGTCTCATCTACAACGATGAGTTCCTCAAGGATCCCAGGACTCAGTGGCTGCTCCACCAGCGGCGGCAAAAGGAGGCCGAGTTGGCCAAGAAGGAGGAGGAGAAGAAGGCCGCGCATTTGGGCCAAATGCGAAGTGAAATGCGTCGACTGTTGGGTCAATCCAAAATTGCTCTAACTTCGCCAACGGGAAAGGTTCGCAATGAGGTATTTTACAAAACTTTAAAAACTTATTTATGTAAACTGTTTATAGGCCAATCTGTCTGTGACTCGTGCCTTTTGCCAATTGCTGCAAGGCGAATCCTCGTCTGGCAGTCGTACTCCCAAGTCCCGAACTTTCACAGGACCTCTGCCCGCTCCCACTCCTTTGCCTTCGCCCGAAAGACGACAAAGTCTGAGGGTCAGCACAAGTATTCCACGTCCCGAAAAGAAATTCTACGTAAAGTTCTGTCAGAGCAGTTAAGCAGGAAAATGTAAATAGGACATCCCCAGTAAATTCACAAGCAGGAGGGCAAATTACAGAGCTACAGCGCAAGAAATCCTAAGAAGAAAAACTTGGAAAAATAAATTTGAATATTGTCAAGAAATTCCTTAGACAACCACTTTTAATTCCGACAGAGATCTACGAACAAGTACGATCTCTGGCAGATTTGCAAGTTGTTATCTTTTGGATTTCTTTAATAATTCAAATTCGTGTTCCATTTATCTAAGAACCTAAGCAACCTATATAACTCATAATTAATTACTATAAAATCAATAGCAGATGCCCATGAATTCCCGAACTACTGCATACAAAACTCGTATTCTACACATAAAACACTCCAATTGGATGAAAATGAGTTGTTAATTATCAATTGTTATTTATTATTTACTCTTAAGAAATATGTAATTTAAAAAATACAATCAATTATACGGGATTGGAAAATAAAAGCCCAAGAAAATCTCGGTGATAACCCATCACAAATACTCAAGATTCCTGCAGAGATATTTATAGTTGTAATATTAAAATACGAATCTACAAAATAGTAAAATATATAGTAGTATTATAAAATATATAGTAGTAGAATAAATATACAGTCGTAATATAAAATATATAGTAGTAGAATAAATATATAGTAGTAATATAAATAATATAGTAGTAATGTATATAGTGGAAAGTAGTTCTTTTGAATTTACTCAAGAATCTGGAGTTGCGATCTCGCAGGAACAACTGCGCACCGAATTCGTATCCCACACATTAAAGATCCCAACTGGAGGAGGATGAAAATCAGGAGGAGGAAGATGAAATGGAGGAGGATGAAATGGAGGAGGAGGAGGTGTTGCGTTCGGTATCCGTGCTGCTCTCGTTATTGTTATGAATAAGTTAATAACATGGCGGAAGGCTTCTTTTGTCGTGGCCCAAACAAGCAACAACCTGGCAGGCAGGCAGCGCTTATTAAATGATTGAAGCCTTTGGTGGGGCGAGGTGGAATCTCTCCACTTGGCCTCTTCTCGGTCTCAAGCTGGGGGCCCCCATAAAAAAGGTGGAAACCTGGTTCTCGTCATTCCCCCTTTCCCCCCTCTTATATTTTTTTTTGTTGCCTTTTTTTTGTGAGCGCTGCTTTTGTGGTTTTTTGCCTTTGCGAAGAGCGACCAGCGACCACCATCAATAACAGAGTTCGGCGACGGGCCCGGGCCATATTTATGATTTGTTAAGCAACGCCGAACGTGCGAAAGGATAATCACAAGCGCCTGCTGGCACGCCCCCTTCCTCCATCCCGCCCCCCAACCCCCCTCCCCATTCGTTCCCCTTTCCCCTTGTTGTGTTCTTTTTTCTTTTTTTTTTTTTTTTTGTATTTTTTTGATGGGGTCTTCGTCGTCGTGTGTGAGGCATTTCCAAAATTGAGTCAATGACTTTTATTTTTACGACTCACCCGGGAGAACTGCGCTCCAAGATGGATGGACCTGCGGATCTGCATCCGAAGTTTGGCTCCGGTTTTTATGGCACTGCGAATTGAGCTATTAGATGGGGCAAACAGATTCCGAATCGGATTCGGATTCGGTAGATTGTAGTAACAGAGCACCTGCTATATCTTCCACTCGAGCATTTGACCACCGGCGTCGGTTAACACCCACGAATCCCGAGTTTGATTTCGATCTCAACCACTCAGCGATAGCAATTATGTACTACGAATTTGTACAAATCATTTTCGAAGTGTTTTCGAGTGGACAGCGGGCTGAAATAAAGGTGAGACAGCTGTAAGAAGTCGCAGGATTGGCACAGGACCTCGAATCTCTGGACATCTTTAATGAGCGCCGGCTTATCAATGGTTCGCATTCCATTCCCGCTTTGGGTTCCCGTTCCCCTTTCCCCTTTCTCCTTTTCCCTTACCGCTCCGCATTACCGTTCCCATTCCAATTTCCATCGCCGGTCGGTCGCAGTCTGATTGTTAACCTTTGAATCGGGGCATTAAAAAACGTTAACAAGCTGCGTAGCGCCGTCGGCGGCGTTAATGTCGAAATTGGCGCTGGTCAAGGAATGGCCAAGATCGCCGTCCAGCAAATCAGGGAGTGGGAAACGGTAACTGGGAAAGGGGTTCAAGGAGGGGAAAAGGGGGGGTAACAGGGGGTAAACCGGGAACTGGGAACTGGGGCCTGCGACTTCGGACTGGGACTAACGTGTTTCTTAATGAAACAAAGCTTGAATTTTAAATGAGCATCATAAAGAACAATGAAAATGCAAGGAACAGCAACAACAAAGCGAGACCGGCGATCCGTTCGATGGCCAAAAACAGGGGAAGGGGAGAAGGGGGGGGAAAGGGGAGGGGAATGTGCGGGGTGTGTAGCGCGGACAGCGCGAAATAAAAGCGCAGAAATGTTAAATAAACAATAAAAAACAATCCGCTGCCGCCACCTCTTCCCCTTCCCCCATCCCATCCTTTCCCCTTTCCCCCCTTTGAAAAGTCTGTCAAACTCGGGCAGCGGATTAAGCGCGACTCGAGCAGAAGACGCACCAGAGATGGATATGGATGCGCGATCCCAGGCGATCCCCGAATCTCCGATCTCCGATCCCCCAATCTGCGATCCCCGATCCCCGCTCCACGATCCCCTCATCACCCAAAAGTCGCAACAAAGCCAAATCGGAGCAGGATGAGGTGAAGTCAGGAGGAAGTGCGTCCCACTTCACGCGCCGACTGATAAATACACTGCTTATAAAAATTTCAAATCGATCTTAATCAACAACTAAAAGTCATTAAGGATTCGTTAAATATTTTAAGCCAATATAATTAATTACACTATTAATATATTTTTAATACAATAATTGCTAGGAATTTTATTGCACTTATTATAATTTTATATATTTTTATTTTTATTGCACTATTATTATTATTTATTATTATTAAACGTGATTAATCATCTATTATACACTGAATTCATATTGCTTCGGAAACCATATTTTGAAGGCTTATTAAATGTATAAATTACATTATTTGTTATGATTCATCTTATTTTTTATAGTTTAAATTCTAAAATACTATGTTTTCTGTTTTCCACTCTGTTTTGAAAATAAAATTTACTTCGACACAACTGTTTAAAAAACTCACTGAAGAAAATAACTTTTTATTATTTCTTTAGAATTAATATCTCCAAATTGGTCTCTCAGGTGTTTAACTCTTTCAAAAGTTAGGGTATCAGCCGATAATCATGTGGGTTGGGATGTAAAACTTTTGCCGTCGCTGCTTAAGGATTCGCAAATGATTCTGCGGTCAAAGATGAAATGAATCGGGCTTAAAGGAACGGGGTGGTGAGGGGGATTGGGGTATTGGTGAATGAGGGGAGCCAAGGAGCTGGGGTGCTGGGGTGCTTGGCCATAGTTGATTCTCTGGTGCTGGCCATAATTGGTGCTCATCTTAATGGCATTAAAATTGCATTATCGCTGTATTTATTGAAACGGTTTGTTTTAACAAGATTAACTCGACGATACCGCCAACAACAACAACAATAAAAGCAACAACAACGATGGAGACCACAAAATGATTAACAGCAAAAAGCCGCCACAAACGGAATACCAAAAAAAAAAAAAGACAAAAAGAAAAGAATGAGAAAACGATCCGAAAACAGCGTTAAAATACGTGATATTTATGTGGTTGCTGCTGTTGTTGTCGCTTGATTGGCCCCATCCATTGTTGTTGTTGTTGTTGCTGTTGTTATTATTGTTGTTACTGGTGTTGTTGTTCACCATTGTTATTGCTGCTGCTGCTGCGGCGGGGGCCATAAAATATTTATAACATAATTTCATATCATTTTTAGATGATTAGATTCAATAAGGCGGCTTCCAGTTCAGCAGCTGAATTTGATTTCAGATACATTTGTATCTCTTAACGATGTCGTATATCTGCGGGCTCCTTTTTTTCCTTGGGGGGTATCTCGGTTTTGAATGGGTTAGCTCCTGGTCCTCGCAGAGAACCCAACTGAGTCACCGATGATGACGCCCACATGCATTCCCAGAACCCTAGAGCAGTTGGCCCATCGATCGATCGATCGGTCGATGATCCAATATTGCAACCCTTTCGCTAAGGTTTTCCGAGAAACTCTCATAATTATTATTTATGCATACAAATTAAAAGCAGAGCGCAGTATTTGCCAAAATCCGATCAAAAGCGTTTATTTATGGCCGCCGATTTGCCAGATTCTTTTTTGGCTGCTTTTTTTCATTATTATTTCATCGCGCTTCGATTTCATCAGGCACCGAAATGCCAAAGAGTTTGGAATTCGTACGCCGCCGGGCATTATTTGATAGTTGAGATACGGATACGCGATTGCTTTCCATTTCGAAATTACCGTTAGGTTGGAAACCCTTTTTAAAAGGTAACAAAATATTGGTAGACAGCCTAAACTGTTTGATAAGCCCTCTGACCTTTTGTGTTCTCTAAGATACTTTGGGGATTTCTCATCTGTAAATGCAGTTTAGAGGATTTAGAGTCCGTTGCCAGGGGCCAACTTTCCACCATTTCCCATGCCACTCCAGATCCATTTGACGCATCCACTTATCACCTGTGATCGTGCGTCAGCGGCGACAATTAAATAGATTGAATGCGGATTGCGGCGATTTATGACCCAGCAGCAGCTGGCACTTGGCACTTGGCACTCGGCACTCTGCACTTGGCATTTGCAATTGATTGTCGTCGCGTTGCCCAATTAAACTTATTGCGGGCCAAGTAAATGAAATGTCAAATGAGTTAATTAAGCAACGCGGATGGTCAGTATATATTATATGAGACGAGCCTCCGTTACGGGGGCGTGTCGCTCCGATAAGAAATCGGGTGATAACACCGACGACCTTGTTGCATCAGCAACTATATCTGTACTTACCTCCGTCGGTGGCGCATTGCTGCACGGCGAGAAAACGGGTGGGCGATAAGATAAGACTATGCCATTAAAAGTGCACTATCAGGGTCAGGATGTCATAAACGATAAATGTAGAATTGATAAAACTAAAATACATTTTATTGCGCAGTCTTATTGATCGGAAGTGGGAATAAACTGCAACTTAGTAATAAGATCATAAATAACTTTGAATTGTCAATTAAAGATATATCAGCGACTGTTAAGTGATTACTTGAAGTCTGGCATGCCGGGAATAAATTGATAAGATTGCAACGACTTTACCTGCATTCTTTTCTCCACAGAGCTAAAATGCAAGGTGCATTTGTGTTTAAAATAATATAACTTTTATGACCTAGATGTAAGCTTAACAGGTTAGACGTGGCTGTGCTTGCGGACACCAAAAGGTTAATTATACAGACTAATTTAAAAGTTAGTATATTTGCAGGAGTTAAATGTAAATTAAACTGGTTAATTGAAATGTAACTATATTTGCGAAAATTTCAATTACAATGAAAATAATAGTTTGGGATATTGGGAAAGTAACAAAAACCAATTAAAAACATAAGTAAATGAGTCTAGAAAATAATGCTTATTAGT